CCACTGTAGTATTGGATAGAAGTCCTGAGAAACAATGGCAAATGAAGTCTGTGCACAGTATCTTTCTCTAGAATAACTAGAAGAGGGCCAATCAAACTAACCCTTCACCAAGACTCCCCTGGACACACATTTCAATTGAATTGGGCCTCTAGTGTTTCAAGTTGCAGGGTCAAGTACACCACATCCTCCCTGCAGATCAAGGCATTAGGGGAGAGGGGTCCTTCTACCCACTGCTGGAGCCAGCCTGGTATTTGTGGGTCTTTCCTCCAAACACAGAAGTAATTTAAGTCACTTTCTTCACAAGAGAGATGCCCTTGTCCTCCACTTTGTTCTTCTCACACTGCTGTACCCACCTGCTGATTTGCATAGTGCTCTCCAAGGAGGACTGTCCAGCCCTAGTTTGACATAAAGGCTCATCTTGACCTTGACCTCACTGATCAAATTTCCTGGATTCCCAGCTAAAATGAGACTCTGTTCTTGGGTTCTGGGTCTCCTAATGCTCTGGATCACACTGGTAAGTGCAGAAGGAGATGAGGATGGAAAAGGAGGCTGAGGGTGAGCCCTCAGGGCCACTGCTTCTTGTTTGTATTCTGTTCATGGGTTAGATGCACAGAACTTATCCTCTAGAATGAAGTGGGTGAAGTTAATTATATGAGAGTGATGGACATTCTAGATGGAACCTGGTCCTGAGCTTTGGTGACAAGTATGACAACTGTGCAGTGGGTAGTATACATGATATCTAGAACCTCATTTAAGCTTTTTAATATTTGTATATGGTTTGAAATGTTGAATGGTTTTAAGATAGAAGGGAAACCATAAAAGAATTGAGAATTAATATATAACCACAGAAAAAATTACATACCACATATAACCTAGTACTTTTCATTTATATTAATTTCAGGGTCCAATGGCGATATTATAATGACTCAGACTCTACTCTCCCTGGCTGTCACCCTGGGAGAGATGGTCTCCCTCTCCTGCAGGTCAAGTCAGAGCCTCATATATAGCAATGGAGATAGCCTTCTGTATTGGTTCCTTCAGAAGCCTGGCCAGTCTCCACAGCGATTGATCTATTGGGCTACCAACTGAGAATCTGGGGTCCAAGACAGATTCAGTGGCAGTGGGTCAGGCACAGATTATACATTGCAAATCAGCAGGGTGGAGGCTGAGGATATTGGCATTTATTACTGCATGCAAGGTTATACTCCTCCCACAGTGATACAGTCCTTAACAAAAACATCTTTGTAGGGCTTGGCCCAGCTGTCCTATTTCAAAGCTTGTTTGGAGAGCAGCATAGCAAATTCTCTGAACTGAAGCAGTAATCTGAGTTTGGAGGACTTGACAGAAGATGTCATACCAGAGACCTTGTCCAAGTGGGATCTTGGATTACTTCAGCTTCCAGGGACTCCCAGAACCAGAATTTATAATGTTACTGCAAAAGACAATTTATCACTTATTACCAAATGTGAAAAACAAAGACAAAATCATCTACCACCAGCATGCCATTTCTATAGTTTGGAGAGAATTACAGAGTCAAATCCCATGCAGAATGACTCAAGAAGCAGTAGTAGCTAGGAATTGAAGAATGAGTCACAAAGCTAGGCTTAAAAGTGAGGTGGATTTTTGAAAAAGGAATGTTACTGAATATCACCAAATAAATAGAATATGTTGGTTAAATACAAAAAAATTAATTATATGTATCAGATATTAAAAGCTTTTTGCTTAATCAACTCATGATTCTGAAAGTCCCATTATTATCATTTTAATAGTGAAAATACCATACATAGGGGTTACAATTACATGAGAAAGGTAATGAGTACATTTCTTATCAAGCATTGTTGCCTCCTCCTTTGTTTCCCCTTAGCATCCCTGCCCTCCCATCTCCCCACCCCCACAACTGTTGTAAAGTTTATTTTTTAACATAAAGTCTTGTACATCTCATTGTTGAAATTGGTCCATCCATATCCCTATTTAAACAATTTTTTCCTTCCCCTCCCCAAATCATACCAACATCAAATACAGTGAAAACAGATATCTCCTTGGCACAGGCTCATTTTTATTTAACAAAGCTACAAATTGAAGTGTGACACTGCGTGTTCCATGTCTGTTTCCTCTGGTCCTCCTCTTATGGAGGCGTTTTGTCACCTGACTCTTAGAGGTTAGAAGATTATGTTCTTCCCTTCCAAAAATCTACCAGTGACTGGCAAACAAGCCCAACAATGAGCAAAGGCTTCCCCTGAGACATGAGTATGTATTAGATTTTCTTTCAGAATATGTGTAGACCACTCAGACATCCAAAGTAGACCCCTGCTATTTCCTTCAGCACAAGCATCATCTTAGGAAAGGACCATCCTTACCAGTGTCTCTTTTATATTTAAGTTCTCCTAATCCCTCTGTCACTGATAGATCTAAAATATCTCTACTTCCCCTGGTGGTAAAACATGAAATAGCCTCATATCTACCGCTGTGCTGGGAGAAGTTCTATACTTACTGAGTCCCAAACAGACAGAAAACATTTATAAAATTTTCCACTGACTATATCATGAGCTTTGCTAGGGAAGCATTTGAATATCTCAAAGAACCACAAACCACACAGAGAGTTGGTTTTAGTACCAGGGGCAGACAATACTATTGAACAAATGCTATTTCTGGCAATGCACCCTCTCTGCTCCTGCCAACACCACTCCATGAAGCAAGGCGATGTCAGGCGAGACAGGGCTTATCCATGTTTGTCCTGATTGACCTGAAATTCTCAATATTCCTTCCTGTGTCTCCCTGAGTGATTAGGATTACACATAGGCAGTGTCTGTGGTAGGAACAGTCCTTTCATCTCAAATAGCTTATATGTGTATTTCACAGGATGTCACTATCTATCAATGTTACACCTTACATCTTAAACAGAACTTTTAAACAGAACTTTGAAGGCATTTTAGGAAAACGAATAAACACAAGACACTCTGCCCTCATTTACATGGCAGCTAGCCTGTGAGATATCAGTGACACAGTGACCCTGAGATCGCTGTGTGCAGATCAGCTTCTTACTCTATGCACACAACAGATCTTTTTTAAAATAAGTTTTTTTTATTGTGAAAATACTGTACAGAGGGGTTACAATCATATGAGCAAGGTAATGAGTACATTTCTTATCAAGCATTGTTGCCACCTCCTTTGTTTTTCCAATACCATCCCTGCCCTTCCATCTCCACAACTACATTTCCCTCTCTCCTCCCTCACCCCACGCCTAAATTATAAAGTTCATTTTTTGACATGGTGTCATGTACATCTAATAGGTTAACTTGTATCCCAATTTGAACAATTTGTTTTTACCCTTTCACTCCCCAAATTATACCAACATCAAATACAGTCAAAACAAGGGTTATACCATGGGGAGGGTCATACAAAGCTACAAGAAAATTACATGGTACCTGTTAAATACTTTAGAAACCATTGCAAGGAAGAAAAAAACACCTGTGTCCCTGTCATGGGGTTCATTATGCTGACCTTTTCTGCTTGTCTTAGATATATAGTAGTTATTGCAAATAAGGGAACCCATGGGAAATATGTTTCTTTGGGCCTGGCTTACTTCACTTAATATATATTTTTCTAAGTCTTTCCATTTACTAACAAATGGGGCAATAATATTCTTTCTGGTGGAGGCATAGACTTCCATTTGGTATATATACCACATTTTCTTGATCAATTCATCTTGTGAGGGGCATCTGGGTTGGTTCTGTATCTTAGGTATGGTAAATAATGCTGTGTTAAAAACATGTGCTGGTAGCTTTAGTATCGTCTACACAAGAGATCTTTATATTTATGATTTCTACCTGAGACCCAGGGCATAACAGTCTTATTAAACAAATTGTTTTTTTAAATTTTATTTTATTTTTTATTGTGAAAATACTGTACAGAGGGGTTACAATAACATGGGCAAGATAATGAGTACATTTCTTATCAAGCATTGTAGCCTCCTCCTTTGCTTCCCCTTCCAATCCCTTCCCATCCATCCCCACATCCCCCCACCCTTATTACACAAATTGTGAAGTGGTTGATCTCCACTCTCATATCCACTCTTCTTTCCTCCTGAAACATAGCCATTCCTAAAATGTCTTGGTCTCAAACCAAGGTTTTGGACGTTGTGTGCACCAGGAGTGGATGTTTATCAAAAGACAGGTCCACCTTCAAAGTTCCTCTAATTAAATGCAGGTAAATAGAAAGGCATGACTTTTACAGTTTCATCATAACTTCCTTTGGCTTCAAAAGTATCATATTTCAGGCCGCAGATAAATCATAACCAGGGTCGAAGTTCGTGAATCTCTCAAATCCAGATCCACATGCAGTTCATTTAGTGAAGGATGATGAAGAGAACCCTGACTTTGGCAGGGACTTTCCCTGTGTGTGAGCTTCTGACTATGAGGAGCAGTGTTATTTTTGTGTGCCTGCAGCAGCTGCTTGGACTCACAATGATGAGAGGTTGATTCACTGTCATGTAAATGTCTTTCTAGTGGCTCCCCAGATGTGACATCCTGCACTAGGGTGGACAGTGTCTCCACATGCTGGTCCTGATGTGGGAGCCTTCCTCACTGCATTCTGCCTTCACTGTCTGTGGCAGTTTTTCCTTGCTTTCCATGCTAAGGATGTGTTCTCCATTCCTTGTGGCTTCATTGCCTTGTTCACCCTTTACTGTGTTTCCTTACATCAAATCTGAACCTGCTTGGACCACAAGTTCTAACCCAGTTACTAAAAAAAGTTATTCTGAACTGGAAGAGACGATAGCATAAGAACATGAAGGTTTATGAAGCAGAAGAGACTGAAGTAGATGTGAGTTCTTGGTTTAGGGAACATCTCATCTTTAAGGGGGGTCTTTTGGGCTATTGATAGGAGACAGGAATGTTACCTGAGAGATTTGGAGACTGCTAGCTCAGAAATTCATGAAGATCACCAAGCCATGTCTTTTAAATCTTTCCAACCCTGCTGACTTTCATGTGCCCTGAGCATAGCCCACTGCCCTGAGAACTTCTTCAGAGGCTGCTCACACCCTATGCAGGAGAAGGTTCCACTCAACAAACAGCCTGGATATGAAGGCCCCTGCTCAGCTCCTGGGGCTCCTGATGCTCTGGCTCCCAGGTAAGAAAGAATAATGCTTGAGATTACTCTTCTCATATTAACAGAGCAGCATGAGGTTTCATGGAAATACTTGGATAATATCATTAATTCAATGACTAATTGTTTTAATATTTCCAATGTCAGGTGCTCGTTTTGATGTCCAGTTGACCCAGTCGCCATCCCTGTCTACATCTCTGGGAGAGAGAAGCACCATCACTTGCAAAGCCAGTCAGATCATTAGCAATTATTTACATTCTTACCAGCAGACAGCAAGGAAAGCTCCAAAGCTCCTGATCTATTTTGCACCTACTTTGCAATCTGGGGTCCCATGGAGGTTCAATGTAATTGGATCTGGCACAGAGTTCACTCTCAGCATCAGCAGCCTGCAGCCTCAAGATTTTGCCACTTACTACTGTCAGCAGGGTAATTAGTTACCTACCCCTGTGACACCAGTCATAAGAAAAACCTCCCAGGGAAGCAGAAGTGAGAGTCTGGTCTGCCCCATTTGCTTACCCTGGTGCTTTCAACTGCTGACAGAACATCTCAGATGCAGCACCATTTTTAAGGTCACTGGAAAGCATTGGGAGATAGGTTCTGGAGTCAATTGTAGACCTTAACTGTCTGTCCTCCTGCTCATTCCAGGCAGCACACACCTGACACTGCCTCTGCTGTGACTTACAAAGAACACTGCTCTGTACTCATGTATGGTCTAGTCTGTCCTAAAATTCTGCAGTTATTCAATAATGAAGCCATTCTAGATATGTCAGGGCAGGTTTTTAAAGGCAAGGAAAAATATCTTGTGAAAAGCATTTTGAAAACTACTTTTTTAAAAGAAAAATAGTGGTTAAAAGTTTTTTAATTCAATTTTGGATTTCAATGGAATAATTTTATTTGAAGTACAGCATCAGAGGCCCAATGATATGCAGCTTTATGTCCAGGAGAGACTGTAGGAAAGAATGGACATTGTGCCTGGGTCCTCCATTCCTCCCTCATCTAGTCTAGAGAAAGATACAGGGTCAAGCATCAGCAGCACTGATTCTCAAAATAGTTCACCAATAAAAGCACAGAGTTGAGCTAGATGAAGAGGCATACCATAGTTAACAGGTTATCTCTTAGGGATGCTTGCATCTCTATTTGCCAGGATTTTCATATTAAGATAGAGAGTATAGAATTGACAAGGATAACAAAATTTTCTCTTGCAGGTTGTAAGTACCCTAACGGTCTTTTAACATAATGGGAAAAATTATTACACTTGAAAGTATGAATTCAATGTTACAGTTTTTTAAATTCACTAAATATCTTGTCATTCTTCCACAATGTATTTGTACAGCAAATTAATCAAAAGATTTCTTAAAGTTCCCGCAGAAGCGAGGGCAGTCTCCACAACTCCTGATCTATGAGGTTTCCAACTGAGAATCTGGGATCTCAGAAAGATTCCATGGCAGTGGGTCAGGCACAGATTGCACATTGAAATGTAGCAGTGTGGAAAGTGAGGATCCTGGGGTGTATTACTGCTTTCAGGCTACACATAATCCTCCCACAGTGATACATCCCTGAACTAGAACCTCTCCTCTGGCTGGGTGAGCAGCCTTCATGTGATGCTGGTCTGGGAAGCAGCAGAGAAGATTGTCTGAATGAGCTGAGGAGGAAGATATTGTGATCAATAAGACTGGGTGGATATGAAAAGCATATGATAATTTGATGACTTGGAAACTACAAAGAGCAGGAGAAAATCATGAAAGGATAAGACCAGGAGACTTTAGGTAAACAATGAGGTATCTATTGAAAAAAATATGTGTCTCTTAAGTAGTACTATAGACAATCAGTGATATAAGCATCAAGTATCTTCTATGATTTTATTCCCTTCATAAGGAAACTGATAAAACTTCCATCATGCACATGGTTTTGGCCCATACATGCAGTCTATGTTATGTGTTTTGTTCAGAAGCTGGAAGCCCAGTTGTACTTTGTCTAGCATCTTCTCTGTTTGTCCCCAAACCCTGCATAAATATCAAGCCCTTCACAGAGTTCTCTCACTGGTTACTCATTGAATCAAGCTTGGGCTGATACAGTACTGGACTCTGCACACTGGTCTCTGGCCTTGTGTGTTCTGGGGATCTGGCTCTACTTGATAGAGTATGATGAAGTCGTGTAATAGTGTTCAGAGGTCACAGAAGTCTGAGACTGAGCCCTTGTATCTGTCTTGTATTCTGTCTTGTATCTGTGTCTAGATTCTATTAACAGTTTTCTGGGTCTGAAGTGTTGTATATCTTTTAGTGTCTCTAAGACAGAAAATCTCCATCACTTGATGGACAGAAACACTTTTGGAAGAGTCTGAATTTTTCTCACATGCTATGTCAAGCTGGATGCAATATATCCTCCAGCTGGGTTCAGAGCTGTGGGATAGACCATTGATTTTCAAGTACCAGCATGGTTGTTCTAGTAATAAGGCTTGTGATCATGATCCTGAACTGGGTTGTCAGCCCACCAATGTAACTATAAGAGGATCAGACACATGCATCCATGAGACTAGGCAGAGGCAGGCAAGCACAGGAGAAAGATTATTAAAAGGTTTATTAGAGAAGTCGTATTTTCCCAAGTGGTAGCACATGGCCTCCATCACCATCCAGATAGCAAGAGGGTGTGACGGATAGGAAGTGAGGTAAATGGGTGCTTAGGTGGGTCTGGGCAGAGAGAGGGAGGAGACAAAGTATGGAGGGAACTCCAGGATGGGAGGAGGGTCCAGTCTGGGTGGACCTAAGGAACAAAGGTGAGCCTAACACTAACAGTAACTACTCAGAAGTATATTAAAACTAAATTTTTAGTCCTTTATGGACCATAGGTACATTCCCAATTTTGATGAGGCAGGTGCTGAGTGAATTTGGTTTCCTTTTCAATTGAGATACATTTCTTTCCTGAGTAAAAAAAAAAAAAAAAAAAAAAAAAGCTCTGCAGTATCTTCTGTGAGAAAAAGAAGTGAGATTGCAATATGGTGTCAGAATGCAAATGTGGATTGGTGGAGAAACAGCCCCTGTGTCCACAAAGCAGACAAATGCTCATGTGACCAGCATGGGAATATAGTCAACACAAGCATTGCTGCAAGCCACGAGGCCAGGCCTCTGGTTTCTGTAGGCAGGGCTGTGAGCCTCCTGTGGCTAGAGTGACAGGAGTAGCTGTCTTCTTTGTAGGTCATAGCCTGAAAGTTGAGCCATAGATATGAGGGACCCTCCAGAGGCTCCATCAAAGGTGGCATTACTGAGGCTGCTAGGAGTTTGTTGCTTGAGGATTCCCAATAGTTTGTAATTCAGTATTCCAGCATGTAACATTTTCTGATTCCCAGTAGTTTGTAATTCATTATTCCAGAGTGTAAAATTTTCTGCTTCTTAGACTTAATATTTGAAGTCAAAATAATAACCAGTCCACCAGATAGCATCAATAAAGTTTCTTTGTTGTTGCTAATTATCATATTTTGACACTAGATTTGTTAGAGGAGGCCAATATGAACAACCTTCCAGGCCTTCACACTGAAATCAAACAAGAAGAGGGGAGACATTAATTCCTCCACCTGCACAGTCACATGGTACAAATGGAGGAAAAAGGACAATTTTTCTTCAGTGAATCAGTTTTTTGTTCTTCAGCGAAATTCATGTTTTCTACTTACTCATATTGTTCAGTGTTGTGTTGAAAACTAGCAGAGACCTGGTTTCTCTGGGTGTAGTTTTGTCCTCTGTGTTTACTTCACACTATTGGATTTGTGTTTATTCACCCCTTGATGGTTTAACGATAGGGTGGTGGTATGGAAAGTGTTAAGAGCATGGTGTGGGGCTCAGTTGGAGGAAATACATCACTTGTGGGCATGTCCTTGGGGCTAATCTTGCGCTTACCACTTCCTATGGTTTGTTTTGTTTTGTTTTTGTTTTTTTTCCCTTTGGATTCTAATGTACCTTGAGTTGAGTAGCCTCTGCTAGATGGTCCCACAACCTGATCTTCGGCCTCACCTCAGGCCAAGGAAGTCAATGATTGTGATTTGAATTCTCTGAAATTATGAGCCCAAATTAGCAGTTCCTTCCCTTACTTTGTTCTTGTCATGTACTTGGTTTTACACATGTTCTGGGGAAAAGAGTCCACAATTCATGTAAAGACAGACTCATGTAAAAAGATGACATTTTTGGGGAAGTGGATAGCTGACCAGCAAGGGATTCAGCACAGACTCTGGAGCTGAAACTGCCACCCCGAATGGGCCTGAAGCTAGGGATTTTAAAGACAATACTCATGTGGTCAAGCCTGTCAACATGCAGGTGGCCAACAGGATTGTATTGCACAAACAAAGGTTGCATATTTATGTCAGTGGCCAATGGGGTTACAGTCTGTCTCATTGTTGGGTCTTCATCCGTCCCACGAAAGATGGACGGGGTCCGAGGAAAGGTAAGTGCGGTGTTCGCCCGATCCCCAGCCTCCCTCAGCCCGGGAGACAATCAGACACCGTGGAGAGCCAAATCAAGTAGGAAGAAAACTCGTTTATTAACAGAGAGCAGCCCTTTTTAAAGCCAAAAAGGGCAGGTGGCATGGCAGGGTGAGAAGAGAAACCAATCACTGTCGAGGTCATACCCTATCATGCACCTAAGCTTCCACAGGCTGATTATGCACTGAATCTAAGGGAAATTGGGATCTGCCCACTCTACTCTCTCTCAGTGCCATCTTTGCTGCCCATGTGCTGTGCATCTCATAGTATCTGTTTGAACTAACCTATCATTCTGGTTTGAATTGGGATACAAATTGGGTGTTCTCCACACAAAGCAGGTGGATATTCTCATTCATGGGGACAGAGATTAGGCTGCTCCTTTCTGGCAGAGCAAAGGTGGCTGGGCTGTTTTACTGTTGATAACCAAACAGGGCTGCATATCCTGTCTGGGCTATTGATAATCAAACAGGGCTACACATCAAACAACCTGATCACAAAAATCCTAAGGTGCTTTCCAAACAGTTTCCACATTTCCTGGGGTCTCAACAAACAGCATATTTACTGACCCTGGGGTCTTTTGAGAAACCAGTATTTTGGTTCTCAAGGGTGGTCAGGAACTCCTGGTGTATTAAAAGTGGAGTTAGTTTTGGCTCACCCCAACAACACACACAAAATTTATGAAAACACCCATACCTACTGCACAGCAATCTGTACTTTAAGCAGGTAATAAGGATCCATACAAGGTTTGAGAAATTACGCTTTAGGGGAAATCTATTTTTGCTAAGGAGATCTTCACTTTGCAAAATTATTTAGCCACATATCAATATTCATCAATTCTTTAATCTCAGGCGTCAAAATAATAATTATTTTTAGAAATCTGAGGATATGTCAAGATTAAATAGTATTCAAAATATTGCCTAAAATCCACATAAGTGGGAGAAGTAAATAAGTGAATTCAAGTTGAGGTTATACTGGCCAATTTTTATCAAGAAGCTATCTCAAAAGAAATCTAGGCATTTGGATAATCTCCTATAATCATGGTTACTAAGGCTGTACAGATAGGTGGAACATGGCCTTGTCTGAATCTCCTAAACAAAACTAAAATGAAAAATTTTAGGATTGCTGGGTCAAAGGGGGGCTCTATGTGGAGTATTTTGAGGAAACCCCATGCTGCTTTCCAAAGTGGTTGAACAAGTATACACTCCCACCAAAAATGCAGTACAGTTCCCTTCTGTCCACATCCCCTCCAGCATCTGTTGTTATTAGAGTTCTTGATTATAGCCATTCTAACTGTGGTGAGGTGGTATCTCAATGTTGTTTTGATTTGCATTTCTTTTATGGCTAGAGAGGTTGAGCATTTCTTCATGTGTCTATTGGACATCCTTCTTTCCTCTTCAGAGAAGTGTCTCTTTAAGTCTTTAGCCCACTTGTTAATTGAGCAGTGGTTTCTTTGAATATTTGTTGATGGGAGATTTAATTTTATGAGTTCAAGGTATATTTTAGATATGAGACCCTTGTCCATTGTATGGCTAGTGAAGATCTTCTCCCAATCCGTGGGCTTTCTATTGATCTTGTTAGCTATGTACTTTGCCATGCAGAAGCTCTGCAATTTCATGCAATCCCACTTCTCAAACCTTTCTTTGATTTATTGTGTTTCTGGGTCTCTATTAAGAAAATTTCAGCCTGTGCCAAGGAGACCTAGGATTTCTCCTATTCCATCCTCTAATGTTTTCAGAGTGTCTGCTTTGACTCCGAGGTCTTTGATCCATTTGGAGTTGAATCTGATGCAAGATGATATATAAGGATCTAGCTTTAGTTTTCTACAAGTTATTAACCAATTTTGCCAGCACCATTTACTGAAAAGGCTGTCTTTCTTCTATTCAATTTTTTTAGCTCCCTTGTCGAAGATTAGATGGCTATAGGTTTGTAGGTTCATTTCTGGGTTTTCAATTCTATTCCATTGGTCCTGAGGTCTGTTTTTTACTAGTACCAAGCTGTTTTGATTACTATGGATTTATATTAGAGTTTGAAATTTGGTATTGATATTCCTCCAGCACTGTTCTTTCTGTTGAGGAGCGTTTTTGCTATTCGGGGTCTTTTATTGTTCCATATGAATTTTTGGATTGCCTCTTCAATTTCCTTAAAGAATGAGATTGGAATTTTGATAGGTATCGCTTTGAATTTGTAGAAAGCCTTGGGAAGTATTGCCATTTATATGATGTTGATCTTTCCAATCCAGGAGGATGGGAGTTTTTGCCCCTTTCTAAGTTGTGTTTTGGTTTCCTTTTCAAGTTTTTAAAG